TATATTTTTTTTACTACTTATAGGGCTTAAGCTTAGCATATAGGTAGAGAGCGCTGTTGCAAGTGTAATAAGACGCTAAGTAATTAGTAGTAGTAGTAATAGTAGTAAAGGCAAGTAAAGCTGCTATAAATAAAAAGAATAAGTAGGCTAAAAGTAACTAGTAGCAGTAGTAGAGCTATATAGATAGTCTATTAGCAGGCTAGGCTAGCTAAATCTAGAAAAGTTTAGCTGTAACTTTATATTTTTACACTAGAGTTAAACTATCTTATGCTACTTTTTTTACTACTAAGCATTATTCTTTACTTTTTACTTAGCCTACTAATGCTTATGCTTTTTTAAAGTGTGCTAAAAATTATGCTTAGAGTTACTTTTACTAGTAGTAGAACTATAGCACTTTTTACTTTTACACCTACTTTTTAGCTTTAGCTAGTTACTACTACTAGTAGAGCTTTTTTAGTAATTAATAAGCTAAATTAAAAGTGTAAAAAGCTTTACTTTATTTATAAAAATTATATTTACTTAAGATTTTACATTTATAGGTAAGACTTTATAGTGCTTAAAGTTAGTAGTAACCTAGCACTAGCACTTAAAGTTTAGGCACTTACTATTACTATAACACTAGTAGCAGTAGAGTCTCTTCTTCTAGTCCTTCTGTGTGGCTATATTCTGTAATTACTATACTACTCTTACTTTGTTAAGTAGCTGCTAAGTACACTTTAGATTTTTTTTAAGTTATAGTGTTAATAAGTTAGGTATGTTAAATAAAAGCTTATTAGTATACTAATTACACTTAAAAGCTTTTTATAAAGTAAGCGCTTTAATAGTAACCTTAATGTTTACTTTTACTACTTAAAGAGGCAGCTTTTTACTAATTTAATAGTTAACTTACTTAAAAAACTTTTTCTCTTTAGCTGTACTAAAATTTACTAGTAAGTGCATTACTTTTTACACTTTTAGGCCTACTTAAAAGTTAATTATATGCTAAATAATCTTATACTTATAGCTTTTAAGTTAAGCCTTTAGCATAGCTAGCAGCTTATTTACAATATTCTCTGCGTTCTCTAGCTACTATATAAAGTAATTATGCTACTCTAGTGCATAGTGTGACAGTGCTGCTTGTTAAGCTCTGCTGCTAGTTACACAATCTTGCTAAGGGTTAAGCAAGCGCGCTAGCGCCTTAGCGCTGCGCAAGCTTTTCTCTTGCAAAAACCCTTTGCCTCCTTCACTCCCCATCCTAGTTTAGCTGAAATAGAGCTGACCTACTCTACCTTGCTTCCCTAGCTCTATACAGTAGTAGAGACAGTGCTTGTTGTTACACATAGTAAACAGCGCTTTTTTTATTAATAATTAGCTTATATTTAACTTTAAGATTATACTCTAGTGCGTTTAACAGTAATAATAAGTTAGTAGAGTAAATAAAGGCAGCTGCTATAAGCGTAATATAGCCTACTATTAGTAAATTTAACTTAGCAGATAGATTAATAGTTACAGCCTGTCACGGTATCCTCCCTAGATCCCAGACATAACTGTATTAGACGCGTACTAGAGTATTATTAGTGCACGTCTGATACAAACACAACATAACATAGATATAAACTTAAGCATAAACTACTTTAACACTAACTAAACCTAGAACAGGCTTAATTTATACTTAAAGCGCTTAGACTTCTAAGCTAAGTATTTAATTACTAATTTTCTTTTAAACTTTTCTATTTCTTACATAATGTCTTATACCTACTATAATACCTTATATAGTAATTAAACTAGACCTTTATAAAGCTCTATAACCTTACTTATGTATAATTATAACATTATATTATGTTAAAACTTTAGCTAAGAATAGCCTTTAAATTTAATTTAATAAGCTTAGTACTTATATAACTCTAAGCTATTAAAGTAAGCTAAAAAGCCTTTTAAAAAGCGCTTACTTTATAAAAAAGCTGCTATATTATAAGCTTTAAAGCTTTTTAAAAAGACTTTAAAAAATAGCTTTATATTATTAAGTAGTTTATTTTTGCTTTAACTTTTATTATAGTAGTAGAAACT